GGTGTTTTTAGTCAGTAAGAGTCTGACACTCTCTCGCCTTACCCTGGGCGAGAGAAGCCATTAGATGATTTTCCCATGACAAAAAAAAACATATATTGATTTTGATACATGAAGTTTTTATAAGCAAGGCAAATAATGTAAATAGGTGAAATTTGTTTTCTTATGCAATAAATCGAAAAGCGGACGGGTGACCTGGTGGTAAGCAAGCGGTGCTGTCGATCGACACTTGTAACACTGAAGGAGATACAAGTGCAATTTTTTTGTGATAGGTTTGCCGACAGCAAACCAGCAAACGGATTACCTGATGGTAAACAATCAGCGTCGCCCATGGACACCCGCAACGACGGAGGAGTTACGAGTGCGTTGTCGACCTTTTGGGGATTAAGGATTTGGAGATTTTGGGAAAGAGGACGGATTAAGGTAGGGGAAGGATTGGGGATTGATTTGATTGATTGCTAATTACAACGTAAGCGTTGTTTCACGCCGGTTTTCTGTGAGGATCTTTATACACATTTTAATTGTTTCAAATCAAAGTTTTGATACACAATTTCCTTGAACAAATTGTGGGTATCGTTTTCAATTTATACTGTAGCAATCTGAAGTTAATGGGTGCACACGTAACAATAATTAAACTTTGACTTCACAATATTCTCAGCGGAATTCATAACTTCAGAAGATCTTGCTAATACAAAATTGTTACGACAGTAATAATTTTAGTGCTGATTTCACAATGAAGGGTGTGTGTAATTTTGAGGCTGTATTAAGCATTTTATCTAGATTTTTTACATTCTTTCTTCCTATACTAGAGTCTATCTCGATATTGACTGTCTATTGTCCTTTAGGTTACTTTATTTTTATATTTGAATAAATATTAGCGTTACACTGTTCTCACATAATTGAACCAACTGTTTTTAAAAGGAATCTGTTTAAGTAACTGATTTAAAAAGAGTAACCATGGAGTTTCTTGCTCGTTCTTCTCCATCGGAATCTACACTTTGGAACGAGCAAATAGCTTCACTAAGAGGACTGACCGACAGACTGACACTATATCTTCAAAATTTTGTTTGACGTTCAAAAGTGCCTGTAATGGTCTAATTGAAATAAATTATTTTTGACTTTTGACTTATATTGGGAAAAAGTCCCTAAGACCAATAAACCTGGAGGGCCATTCTTCGGCGCGAATGGTTCGGCTCGAACTGAGTTATATCACGGCTTCACAGAAAACCGGTGTGGAACAACCAAAGCGTTGTATTTCGCCATGTGAGTGAGGTTAACAGTGGCCTAATACGGTCTTAGGTCGGCAACGCACTCGTAACTCCTCCGTTGTTCCGGGCGTCCATGATCGGCGCTGATTGCTTACCATCAGGTAATCCGTTTGCTAGTTTGCCGTCCTACCATTTAAAAAAAACTTGTGAAATGGATACACTTACTTATACTATAAAGGATATGAATTCATAAAGACATTTTATCTAAAACACGCACTGGAAAAGGAAAGGCGCATACATCCACAAACGGCGGAAAATCATCAAATGACTTTTCTTCTTCGATCAATAATAGTACTAGATTCCCGATGAGCGCTTCAAAAACGGCCCGAAAATTTGAAATAAGAGCACAAATACAGTTGCGCTCCTATTTCAAATTAGTATGGTACAATATGCTACCAGAATTGTAGCAACTCGGTCATAGACTATAAAACATTATTCTACAATCTAATAGAGCCGAGCAGCGAGTGATACCGCGCGGGAATAGCTAGTTTACAATATTTTTGCTTGCATCCTGATCCTAAATCGTGCGAATTTCGTGTCTGTGTTGTCAGGTAAACACGACGGCCTTGAAAGCATCCCAAGTCATGTTTCGATAGTTAATCCTTTTGCGCTCACGTGAGATGTAACGCAAATAATGGATTCTGACCCAAATCTGTTGAGGTGTTTACATTTTAATTGGTTTTTGGTTCAACGAAATACTTTATCGTGTACTTAGAATATACTGAGAAAAGTTTTACTCGTTTCAAGTCACGACAGGAATTTTATTCATGCAACTTGTGCGTCGCGTAGCCATCGTCTCGTAGAGGCTTTCTCAGTTTCTTCGACGTCATTAAGTCGTTATTTTTACTAAATACTTGTATATTTTTTTACTAGTGGGCCGTCCCTGCTTCGTATGGGTATCCAAACTCCTTGGTGTTGTAAGGGTAGCTCGCCTCGCAACCAGAACCAGATCCGAGCATCACAGATAGGCCCCAAAAGGGCCGATGTTCAGCTGGCTTGCGGGTTAAGCGCAATATGGCATTATACATTTGTCTATTCTGTTTACATCACTTATATACGACAATGTCAACAATGTTTTACCGGTAGTACCACAATTCGATAACAGATGACGCTGTACCGATACGTCATCATTTTACATCGCGGTGTTAAGATTCTCCGTCGATACACTACCTCTGCAGTTTTATGTGCAATAAATTGTCTTACTCTGGACACGTGTGTTTTATTCTCTTGGGAGATATTTTTGGGACGTTGTACAACATTTAAGTATGTTTTCAAGATTTAATACTTCACGATCGATTACAATTAACTTTTGCAGTTATAAATAAATTTTATATTTTATTTTTTCTTTTTTCTTTACTACAAAAGTAGTTATAAATAAATTTTATAATATTAATTGTTATATTATATTATTATTTTATACTTGGAGGACGTAAAATCAATATAGTTTAAGTTTCACTTTCACAAAAAGAAAACACCAAACAAGTATTGTAATTTGTATGAATTACGTACCTACATATGTGCTAAAAAGTTTATCAAGTGTTACGCGATAGTGTTAAAAAAAGGTTCCTTCAACGTTGCATTATTCTGGTTGCGGGGTAAGCGCCATGAGGCACCGCGACCTCGGCACAGAGCAGTAGAAGGAACAGGTGGAGTTTTAGTCAGTAAGAGTCTGACACTCCCTCCTGCCCGGCCCTGGGCGGGAGAAGTCATTTGATGATTCTCCCCTCACAAAAAAAAACGTTAAATTATTCTGAACTTAATTGGATAAAGAAAACTCGAATTTAACCAGCCAAGGAATTACACTGAGGGCCTTGTGTTCTTCAGTTACCTAAACAATATCATTTCGAAATTCTATTTCACAACATTACGTACTTCATGAATGAATCTCTCACCAAACTATTTATTACATTATACTTGACATTAAATCCGTATATAATTTACTTCGCATTATTTTCGGCATCGGTTAGTGTACGTTCAATGTCATTCACAAAAACCAAGGCTCTATCGATTATGAAAATGATCTGCCTCTCTAATGATGCAATTTCATTTTATATTGACAGAAATCATTTTCTTGTTTCGTGGTCAAGAAGGTACCCCTCCATCATCAGCCTATAAGTGTCTACTGCTGAGCAATGTATTTTATAAGTCTAGGTTTCCTCACGTTGTTTTTTCTTCGTTGTATGTTAGTGGTGTTTTAATAAAGGAAAGTAGGTACATATATCTCTAAAAAGGCACATTGGTACGTACCATGCTTAGAACCCCACCACGACGATCTAGGGATACGACTAAATTTTCGCGAATGGCAAAAGTTCATAGTATAATGTCATAGGTCGACAAACGAGTAGACGGATTTACGGATAGGGGATTTGAGGATAGAGCAAGTGGGGGGGGGGGAGAAATTTCCGGAAGATTATTGAGTTTTGTAAGTACTAGGAATAGTTTCTTCCCTCTCGCGTGCAAGAAACTAAGTTATCACTATACTCGTTATCGATTACCGATTCATCGATGTCCCTATCGAGTGATGTACGGAGAAGCCAGCTTCTATTTTAAATCGATTGCATGATTGTATTTAGGCCAGAGTTCCGCTACGTCGCTTGGCTCTCCGTTATTGAATTACAATAAAATTGAAATTCTTATGAAATCGATTGATAATTATAATGTCGCACTTTCTTAGAATTGACAGATATTTTTTTTATTCGGATAATGATTTAAGCTACCAAACTAGCCATGTCACGCTAATATGTAAGTGGACTATAGATATTACCTAGTAATATTTTTATAGTGAGTGAGTTAGAAATACGCATTAAAGAAAAAAACTTTTTTGGTGATTTTAGAAATGTATGTTTGTGATACCTGAAGTTTGTTAATTTATATTATGAAGATAGGTAGTTCCAATCGATCGTCGACAACAATGTCAATATTGAAAAACCCAGTAATACTTTAAAGTATTAAGTAAGACTGATATGATGTAAGTAAACAGAGATAAATTTTGATATTTATTATAATTGTGTTTACCTATTGTATTTGTTTTGTTGTGTTTTTATGACATTCAAATACATAGATACTAAGAGAAAGTCTTAAAAATCTGAAATGGATGATTTGAAGTTTATTCACGCACATATGATTGAAGTTTTTTTAGTGTTGTTTTAACGTTAAATACGATTTTCATTTTAGTGTTGCCAGAATCAAATCAACGAAAATACAGTGTGGGTTTTCTAGAAGTATTTTAATGGGGAAAAAATGAAACTCGTCCTAATATGTAGCTGGCTTAAAGGAGCCTTAAATAAGAATTCTTCTGGTCATAAAAAAAAAATTGGGCTATATATAAACTTCTTTTCACACATCTCAATTTAAAAATCTGTCTGCATACGTGACTAAAAACTCTTTTGTTACTCATGAAGAATGATATCATCATTAATAAGTTAAAATTAATCAATTCTTTTTATTAATATACCAATAATTGCTACCTAAAATTATATACTGTAAATAATTATCAAATTGCTACCTAAAATTATTGACTTATAATAATTATCGACATAATCCACTTGAAAGGTCATTAAGAATATACCTACCTATACAAGATTAAAATCACACGATTATGAGTATGTCGAAGCATGTTAGTCATAAGAGTGTGGGAGAGCCATGCTTCGGCACGAATGGTTCGGCTCGACCGGAGTGATACCACGGCCTCACAGAAAACCGGCGTAAAACAACCACAGCATTGTGTGCGGTTACCGGATGCCCATTCCTTACCCTCCGCCCATCCCTCCCTAATCCCTAAAAATATCCAAAACCCTAATCTTTCTAAAAGGTCGCCATCGTTGCGGGTGTCCATGGGCATCGCTGATTGCTTACCATCAGGTAATCTGTCTGCTTGTTTGTCGACCTATAACATGAAAAAAGATTTTAGAAATATAATTGTAAGCTGATCGCGGTTTGAATAAAAAAGAGAATGAGTGCCATCGTCATTTGCATTAAGGAGAGCTATCTTTTTTTTCAATACTAAATGCCATTAATTAAATGAAACCAACCCAAGACTGTTAATGATTAACCTTTAAGTTAATGATATTTGTATAAGAAAATGGTCTGCGTGACGATCTTAGGCGTGCCGTGAGATAAACTAGAGAAACATTTCTTTTAAAAGGAACTCTTGCTAATTAATTCGGTTTCAAAGTAATGGATATAACAGTGCCCTTTATAATTATGTCGTTGGCTTTTATTTATCATCATAATTATGATTATGCTTTTATATTACAGGTCAAGTTTTATAATCAATAGTCGTGGTGGCCCGGAGGTTAAGGCGCCCGCTTCTCATGCATGAGGGTGCGGGTTCGAAACCTGGCAAGTACCAATGTGACTTTTTCCGAGTTATATGTACTTTCTATGATTATTTAGACACCACTGACATACGGTGAAGGTAAACATCGTGAGGAAACCTGGACTTATAATTTCTAATTATAAGTTTGAAATCACCAACCCGCATTGAGCAAGCGTGGTGATTAATGCTCTAACCTTCTCAGTGTGAGAAGAGGCCTTTGCTCAGCAGTGGGCACTTATAGGCTGATGATGATAATGATGATTACAGGTCAAGTTTTGCGTTGAATGACCAGTCTTGGGTTATATTAGTTGGGTTCTTTAGGGTTAAATATGTTCTAAAGTTTCTCCCGATAGTTGACAGGAAGAAAATGTTTAGGTGTGGCATTGAGACCACTTATGTATGTAGGTGCATTTTGTATACATAAGGAATAAATAAAGAATAAATAAAAAGAGTGTATATGGACCTGCTTTAAGTGTTCGAGAGCTTCTTCGGCACGAATGGCCCGGCAGGAGGCCAAATCCTTCTCCCATCGACAATCGTCAAATCTCCTCAAATCCTTAATAACTCTTAAGAGGTCGACAACGCACTTGCAGTAACTCCTTTGGTATTATAAGTGTCTATTAGCGGTGCTGATTGTTTACCACCAGATACGTCTGTGCCTTTTCCGACCTTTGACATATAAAAATAACTTAAGTTACTTACAGGAGTACCTACATAAGTAGTAAGTAAAAGTCTACTAAATATAAGTATTACCCTCAGTAGGCCATGGTCTTTTAGTGAATAGACTGTAGTCCCTTTAAAATAAAACCTTAACTCGATTACCTAATAGTATTGACTGCACGGTTGGTACGGTGGCTTTTTTTTTGTGAGGGGAAAATCATCAAATGACTTCTCCTGCCCAGGGTCGGGCGGGAGGGAGTGTCAGTCTTTTACTGACTAAAAACCCCTCTGTTCCTTCTCCTGCTCTGGGCCGAGGTCGCGGTGCCTCATTACGCTTACCCCGCAACCCCGGCTGAATATCAGCCCTATGGGGCCCGGTAAGCACCTGCGTCAGGCGGAATTGGTACGGTGGCTGGGTAACTGGCTGCCGTGCAACATGTCGCGGATTCGATTCCCGCACGGAACAACACTTTGTGTGATCCACAAATTGTTGTTTCGGGCCTGGGTGTCATGTGCATGTGAAATTGAATGTTTGTAAACGCACCTACGACGCAGGAAAAACTACTAGTCTTAGTTTAGTCACATTATACCTAATTATGTTGAATCACTTACGGAACGTAATGTATTTATGAAACAAAAGTTGCAATTATACCTTCTTTCGTTTACAACATAGGTACTTAAGAAAGTACCCATTTAATATGCCAAATTACAACTATCTATCTCCCTCTAAGATAATAAATTTAGTTATAAAGGGGAAGACCACTAGCAATCCAAGTGGGTTTGAGTAGTTTGATTCGGGAAACCCCCTATCAATGTAATGTATACATTATTATCTATCCTTCTTCTGATAAGCTGTGAACTATTACTAGTTGTAAATTCTCTACTAGTCTTATCTTTTATTATTTCCGTCACACCTTTGCTGCCTCAAGAGGTAATGGATTGGCCATATGCTTTGAAAGACCTGACCAAGGATCCAAGCAAACCTTTATTTTTTGTCAGGGGAAAATCATCTAATGACTTCTCCCGCCCAGGGTAAGGCGAGAGACACTGTCAGACTCTTACTGACTAAAATCCCCACCGTTCCTTCTCCTGCTCTGGGCCGAGGTCGCGGTGCCTCATTGCGCTTACCCCGCAACCCCGGCTGAACATCAGCCCTATTGGGCTCCGTCTCTGGTGGTGGTTCTTTGAGACATCCAAGCAAGCGTTAGACTGGAAATTCCAAGGGGAAAAGTGCGGCCATCTTTGCCAAACCTGGCGTTACGTCGTGCTGACAGAAGCGGATCGGAATAACTTGGAACGAAGTAAAGCGTAAAACTCAATACCATGCCACTGAGAACTTCTGTGAATTCTCCCAACTTCAAATAGAAGATGATATAGGGAGGTTATTAAGACAAGTAAGTCAGTCGAGATTTTGGCGCAACCTGGGACTTCAGCTTTGTGTATATGGTCGCAAAGCGACAAAGCCTTTCTATAAATAAAAAAAAACTCTGTGTATCATGTGGTTTTCCTGACCTAGGTTTCGGGTTTAGATCTTGTGCTCTTGTGCGCTATTTTTGTTCTTGAGTTTGTAGTATACCTTATGACCTTATGTCATTTTTATGTATGTTCCATTTCCTGGCTGCAAACAATTTTAAGTACACACACACATAATGTGTATGATTTTCATCTAGATGAGAAAAAATTGGAAAGGTAGTACGAGGAATGTCAGCGTTAAGTGTGACATTAAACTCTTACTCCTTTCCTGTTCCATAGAGGTTAAAAATAAAAGACACAAATTCACTGTTTATATCACTTTTTTATAATTTATTTTCACAACATTTTTATTTCTGTAAAATTTACAATAGCTTAAAACTCTTCACAAATATAATAGTAATTATGTATCGTAACAACACGTCGTCGCGGTTCGTGTAACACGAAACAGGCAACTTGGAAGAGAAAGAAAAAAATAATAACTATAATGTAAATATACTTGATATAACCTAATATAAGCTTATATAACGTAAGGCCTAGAAACCCCTAAACTAGAGAGTCGGTGTGTCGGACGTTCGCTTTTAACATATGAGCGAGTTTCGACACGGCGAGCTTCGGAGACATAGAGGATGGACAGGTAGCAGAGGTGCAGGGGCTGGTACGTGACGTCACAACTATGTAAACAGCTCGCGCTGTGGACGAAGTACATTTGTGACAACAGATGACTAAAAAGGACAAACATTCGTAATTTGAAAATCCAGTTTCCATACAATTAATTTCCTCTCAACTGTGAATGCGTAACATTCTAGAAAACCAAGATAAGATACTTGTATCAATATTGGCATATTATGCACATTCAAGGCTATTTGTTGCAAATTGTCCATTTAAAAAGATATTTAAGGCTCTATATTATCAAATACCGAGTAGTGCTACGCCCAGAGATAATAACAGTTGTGATATTTGTACTGATTATGTAGGACAGTAAACTAAAAGCCGCACCGCTGCTAATTGCCGACCTATCTAGTACTGCGAAGCATCGCTTCTTATTACGGCGTTCACGTGCTCTTACTTCCACATTAATCTAACACATAACTAGAACCCAGTTACTTCTTCAACGAAACGAGAATCGAAAAAATCATGTACCATAATCATTGCAGAAATCTATTTTCAAAATCATTTTATTGAAGAAAAACTGGACTCTAGAACCAACATTTTATAAATAGATAAGTAAATGCTTCTAGTTTAGATTGCATTAAAACCTCTTTTTGCATTATTCACGTACTTTTGTTTTTTCAAATAACTTATTTGATTGATAGCAATAAGATAATAGACATTGAGTTCAGTGATGTTTAGCATTCGTTTGGATAAAGATGGCAATCACCAGTTAATTTATTTTGTATTTAAAGGAAAGCAATTAATATTAATTGCAAGTTATTTCATTCAGCAGTGAGTTGTATGACGCAATATCTTTATCAGATAGCTACACGTATGAATGCTCTTTTATATTTTCTGGAACTTTCTTTTAAACAATGCTATTGATGTCGATATCTTTGCTTTTAATGTCACAGATAACAAATTATTAAAAGAAAAAATACAGCATGCAATTACTTTCCAATCTTCAACCAATTCAAAGGATGAAGTTACAATAGTATATTATTAAGAAAAAACGTTCGTACATTGAAAACGCAAAACCTTGATACAATCTTTAAAATTTCCATGATAGTCAAACAATACTTAGGTATTTTTAACAACATTTCACCACAAAAACAAAATGAGATATTCAACTGAGATGCATTTGAGAATTCGACAATGATTTTGAACTAAACCCTTTGTGGTAGTTTAAGAAACATTGTTTTAAGTACATTAATAATAATATAAGGAGACTAGTATATATGTCTGTAAAATATATTAAATTCACAAAACCATTATCCAACAATATATACATATAATAACAAACAACATACAACGCACGAGAACGCCATTATACCAGTGCTCATTAGAATTAAAAATTAATTATAAAATAAGGCTAGCTGAAAACTGATGGTAACTTTAGAAAAAAAATCCTAAACTATATTGCAATGTCTCTCTTTGCAAAATAAATTTTTCAAAATACATTTAGACCGTTTTTTCGAAGCGTTTAGCCACTTGCCGTGGTTTGTGGAAGAGCTTTATAAACTAACCCATTACGGTTTCTCTTGGGCCACATTCACTATTACCAAATTGAATCCTTTTTTGTGTATACAATTTGATTGTTAACGAAATTCTGAATTTCATATCTTAAAGTGAACTCGACCCAAACTAAAGAAAGAATTATGTAGATCAGCCTGTAGATAGCGTGTCAATTAATATCGAGAAGTCAAAATGTCTACAAACACTTTTGCAAACTACATCTTCAATAAATTACACAATTATCTGTAAATAACTGGCAAGTCTCCTACTTTTAATATCCTACATAATTATCTCCATAGTCGTAGAGAGAAAAATCCCAAAAATATACCATCGACTTACATTTTTTTTGTTTCACATTTCGCGCGAGGAGGTAGGTTCTTAACGGATTATGCCAATAGCTGATTTACAATATAGATATAACAATCACAGTTATTTATAATAAATATAGTGAAAATATAGAATGACATTTAAAATACCTGTCGAAAAGACTACGAATCACAACTTAGACGCCTGTCTCGATATAGCAAGTTACACTAGTGATAATTAACTTACATTCACTCTTATTACATAAATGGAATAAAGTTTAGATTCAGTTAACTATGTTTATGTACTTCATTTATTTCTAAGTACAGACGACTGGATACTATTTCTAATTTTAGGGCTACCGTTTGACGTGATCAAATGGTCCGTTGTACTCAAGGTGGTTTGTCTCAGCGGATATAATCCCGGAATGTCGATTCTAGTAGTTGCAAGCCACTCCAATACGGTACAAGTAAAACAAGACTGTCTCCCGAGTGCAACGGATCACTAAATCGTAAATATTTTAAATTGCATCAAATATGTTATCACCTCCAAGTCACAAAATGACATACAGCAAGATAACAAGCATTATGACAACAGTTAAAAGTGTATAGGTACATTAAAACACTACAATCCCAAAAGAAATTTTTGAAGAGATAAAAAATGAGATCTTAAATTTTGGTTCGACAGTGAGCAAGTCGGGAAAATTCGTTCATAAACTCGATAAATTGTTCCGAAGTTAACGATAATACTTTATTAGGTGATTGTACTTGAATACCTCGGATATATTTTCCGCTACTCAAAATATACTACGTAACAAACTGCTCAGTAAAAGCTCTACAAAGTCATGCAATCTGTATAAATATAGTATTTACTCTGAATATGCATTTGGCAAAATATCTAACACATTCGCGTATTGGCCGGACACTGTACACCATCCTCCATATATTCTATATCTCATTTAAATACAACAATAATAATATATCTCTCTATTGGATTTAATCTACATAATTTTATGTAAGTTGATAATAATAATATAATCATCGACAACATGGTTAATTAATACAACAATTAAATCACATTTTCCATACATCTACAGCTTTACAAAAACTGCAATTGATGAGACGTTAAAAGTAAAAAAAAAGTTCATAAGTACTGTGTTACTAAAAGTGACTTCACTACTTGTAAATGTTCTTAAAATATTTTCTAATGGTATTTTTATATTATTTAAAAAAGCGTGAACTTTAATATTGTACACACCTTAGTAATATATTTTTTTGGGTTTTTAAGTTTTTTTTTTATCATTTTATATTTTTCTATGTGTATCTTAATTTGTTACTCGTACGCCAAGCCGTATACAATACTAGAGCGATCACGAAACGTGTAAGTGTATACATACATCCTTTCAGATTGATAAATACATAGTAAAATAGTTGTTTACGTGTGTGAGAGTGAGGAGCGGAGGCGACCGCGCTGGCTACGTTCGTGATCTACTACTACTCAACGGATTTTCTCGCGTTTAAGGCCGTCGACAAGGCCGGACTTGTTACTTCACAATAATTGTTCCTACAAAAAGCACGCACGCTCCTCCGTTACTATCTGTCGCGCAAGTGAACCGGTTATCATTTCTCGCAATAAATTTTCTCACTTACAGTTAACAATAAAACTCGTATCCGACCGTCCGCTTCTCCGTGATATTTCGACGGCGAGAGACATGCCACTACTGTTATGGAGACTTCTATACGTAAAAGCTTAAAAATAACTAACTAGTCTTTTTATATAGGCAGACCATCGACTCGGACTCACTATCTAGCGGCGCGTCCGTCACAATCCACGTGAACGATAATTTTCGTACTGCTAACATATTAAGTTATCAACACGAAAGGAGTACGACTAGAAATTACTTCACGTCGCGGCGGGCCGAGGGCCGCGGGCCGGCCGGCAGCCAGCTCGCGGCGCAATTGACGAGCGAATTGATCGGCGGACAGTGAGCAACTTGACGCGGCGGGGCGCCGCCGCCCGCTCCTACGCGTACATACATTTATCCGTATTATATACATTTGGCACTAAATTCATCGTCGGTCGTACAGGATCCCCGGTCACGCCGGGCACGAGGCGGCGTGGCAGCAGTCGCAGTAGGGCGCGGGCGGCGCGCACTGCGCACACGCCACGCACGGCGCGCACGCCGCACACGCCGCGCACGCACACACGCACACGAAGTACTGCGGCGCCAGCAGCACCGGCGCGCGCGCGCAGAGCTCGCGGCACGCCAGCGCCTCGATCAGCGCCAGCGTCTGGCGCCGCTCGTGCCCCATCAGGCACACCGTGGACTCGCGCACCACGCCGTGCAGCAGGGTCAGGTACCTGCGCCAATACACACACGAGCTTAATCACACATTGCTTTGCGGGTTGACGTAAGCGTAAACACTACGCGACGAAACGTTTTTCGGGTATTATCTCCCGGTATTCTGATTGAGTAAAATTATTTTCAAAATTTTTAGTAGACTAATGGCAATACTAAAACTATCAAATATTATAAACAATAATTTACCTATGCTTCAGAGCTTCCTCCTCCCTGCCAACGAAGTGGTTCCGCAGGTAGGCTTCGAGCTTGGCACGCTGCTGCCCGAGCTCAGGGAAGTCGATGAAGAACCTCGAGCACATGTAGCGTTCAAGGGTTTTGATTTTGTCTGGCCGTGCTGGCCGGTAGCCCTTTGCGAGTAGGGCGCAGTATTTTAGAAGACCGCCGCCACGAATCTCTTCAGGTTGCCGCGTCGCGATCAGCTTCTCGGCGAGGTGGTTCAGAGCCTCATTGAAGTCGCCATATACGGACTCGCCGACGACAGTTGGGTAGAAGTTCTCGCCAATGGGTAGTTGAGCGCACTCGTGGAACGCGAGAAGCGAATCGAGTGCAATCTGGAACGAGTCAACGGAGAACTCGAACTGGCGACGCATCGTGTCTACGAACTTCAGCTCTACGGATTTGTGGCCGCGTGAGTTGCCGAGGGATATGAGGGACCAGCGGTCACCGTCTGAATTCACGCGAACCATCTTTGAAACGTAGGCCTCCTTGAGGCCAGCTGGCGACGCGCGGCGACGTGGCGTAGCTGGTGGCATGAGTGTGGACAGGTGTCCGAGTACGGCGGCCTTGACGCGATCGCAGTGTCGCGCAGTGGGCAGTTCGGCCGTGAAGATGAGGTCGATGTCGGAGTATGGCTGCGGCCTGTCGGCGAGCACGTGGCTGGCCGCGCCGCCGTTGAGGCGCACGTCCCGCACGTTGACGCCAGCGCCGCCTGCGGTCTGCGGGGCCTCGAGGCGAGCGCGTACTCCCGCCACCAGCTCGCGCAGACGCACGTGCAGCGTGGGGAAGTTGCCGCGGCCGTGGATGGCCACCACCTCGTCCATCACGTCATTGAGCCGCCGCACCTGCTCGTAGCTGAGCACGGCGTGACGCTCGCCTCCACCGCAGCCCTCTTCTGATGAAGTGTAACTCGACTCGCTCTGTAACAAAAATAAAAAAGACCATTAATGTAATGAAGTTGTACAACGATATTTATGGGACATATTATTACAATAAAAGTAACAAGCTTTCACGAAAAAGATGCATCTCAGCATCAGGTGTATTGAGGAAACCGCAACGTAATGATGCTAGATTACATCAAAGGAAGGATAGAAAGCAATACAGCTTCGATGTTTCGTTCAAGATTGGCAATATTTAGTCATTACCTACATAATTCTCATTTTCTCATAAATCGTGCCGATTTGCTAGCTTGTACAAAACAATAGACGATGTAAAGTTGGTATGACAAACCGTTTCGCACATTGTTGCTAATAGTCGGTTATAAATTAACAAAATGATGCTATTAAGAGTCTAATAATAAAAGAATATCGCGGAAAAATGAATGACATAATTAAATAACTCCCGAGAACTACTGAGCGATGGCGGACAATATTTTTTTGCTTGTTTAATACTTAGCAATGCTATCAAGGTTAAGTCAAGCAAATAGGATTTGGGTGCGTTGTTTGTACAAATGAACGCCATTAATTTTTGATGCACACCGATTGTCAGATTTTGTCGTCTTTATTGTCTGCTGATAAACATTCTAGCAAAATTGGCAAACTAGCCAAAACACTTTCATTTTTATTCTTAGCTGGAAGTGCTATTTTGTTGCATTTGGATTTTGCAAAGATCTGCGATTTAAATGCCTCAGCGTACTTATCTGGCACAGTTCCATGTTCCAAAATGCTCGATTGCCCGCATACACCAATAAAATTTCCTTATATGTAGAATGGCCATTCTTTTTGTTGGCTAAATGGTTTATTGTGTCTAAATATGGCAAGCATTGGGACCAATGAGTTTGTAATAAATCTTTGTCCATTAGACGTTGTAAAGCGATTCTATTTAAGTGGCGTATTGTTGGAGTTCAATGGTCTTTGAACGAGTATTGAGTAATATTGGTCTAGCCTATTTGTATTATATGTACCTATTCGTTTGTCATTGAATTTCTATGTTGCACTTACGTTTTATTTGTTGTACGATATAAGAGATGCTTAAGACAATGTTTTTTAATAGAATAATGAGATGTACTACTAGTTAGTTAATTTGGACCAAGAGTAGCACCCTGAGGAACACATTTTTCAGGTATCTTAATAATATCTTAGTAGTAAAAGTATTATAAAAACTGAACATTACAAGTCAGTTGATCATTGTACTTATACAAATGTATGTATGTCATAGGCCAACATTATGCGAACAAGGCAGAAAATTACGGCTCTGAAGTAACACTTGCCAATAAAATAACAATTTGCCTTCGCAACGAAATTATGATTGTTGTCTTACTCATCAAATAGGTCGGTGGAAACATTAATTGGAAAATAAATGTGGTTCAGTGTCATAAATATTGTTATTTTTGATTGGACTTAGTTATTGTTTTTTTATTAAATTTAAAATATAATTTACATATACAATTGAATTCTGTGTAGTAAATATAACGTCATGTGTAAATAATAGTTTAAAGAAAAGATGTAAAACAGAAACATCCAGAGCTGCAAACAAATTTTACGATACCGACAAAATGCCGAAATATGTTTTAATGAAACTAAAAACATCAAAATAAATATTGTTGATAAACAATGCATATTTTCGCCGGCCACCTGTTCAATTACTTTTAACTTATCTAGACAAAGTATCTGCGTTTACAATGGCAATACATCATAAGCTACCCACACCGACCTTATCAATTCTATCCGGTTCGTTTACACTATCGCAATTGAATTCTCGTTCCACTGGATAATTATGTCCTGCTGAACTACTTCCCATTTTATTGGTGTCATTATTGATAATAAATGCAACAGGATTCGTGAACTAGAATTTCTAAGTCAAGTTTGCGTGATTATGTTCTTTGAACCAATTATTTTGTTCGTGTTTAGCATTTATTGTTTTTGCTGTTACGTGTGTTTTATTAATTGTCACGTTATTTTGTTTTCGTTTATATTTATTGGCATCGTAAACATGGAAATGATATCATTTTATTGTATTAGATGCAACTTGTGCTGCTATATGTGGATGAATGGATGGCTGTTTGTAATTTTTTGAAGTAAAACTGGCTTAGAGATAGATTACTGTCCGGAATGACACAAACTACTTTAATGGGGTATTGCGGGTAAAGCCAGCGGCAGAATCTAGTAGTCGATATACTTTGAACAAAAATGAAACGCAATTCAAAGTCATCAAGTGCATGCTCACGGCCCATTGCAACAATATTATTTCGTAACATCAAATTATTGCGCAACGAAAGCAAAACGACGCCTTTTTTTAAATTTAGAAAACTTTGTAGAACTATTTCTTCATGTCTGAATGCTGATGCAACCGTTAATGCTATTTTAGCGATAAACACATCGCAATCCCATCGCGACCGCAGTCTTACATACCAGTCCTATAGTGATAATAACAAAGCACACATGCTGTCTTCGTTTTCAAGACATTTTCGAACATTCTCATCTATGCCCAAATCATTGGGTTTTTTTAATGTGTAAAAGTGTCATTGTCATTGTCACGGCGGCGGGGCGCACGAACGCTCTCATGAACTATGCGATGTGACCTCGTTACGGCGTCCGATTAAAATACGAAATTTTGTATTGTTTTTCCTCGTCGATTTGAAATCAGTCGGTCGCACGTTGAGGTCAAATGCGCAATCGTAACAAATCGTATCAGACACGAACCGTATTCTCTACAAGCTTGAATAGGAATACTTAAACTTTTTTACTGAGACGTAGAAATCAGCTGTTCTGCCAAGGTCGGGCCGAGATGTCTGTTGTGTAGAGTTATTTTGTTCGATGAAGAATTATGTTTGAGCTCGGTACTAACTAGAACAATACGTGTGTAAAGGAATAATACATTATATTATTTGTGGAGAGAACAAAAGATATGACTGGTGAACGTATATTGAAATTAGATTCAAAAACAAATCCGAGGTTAGGCCGTGCAGGTTGTAGATTGTTTTATGAAGGTTATTCTCCCCATGTTTTCTCTTTAAACAAAAGTTCTTTAAGCAACACAATCTCGTATCTCGATTGGGACATGCCATCCATTTTGGATATTAAAACTCCATGATTATTATAATGAATTACTCTTAATGTTTTTGCATAAAATCTATTGCAAATATTGGGTGATACTGACTTTCCATTTTCGAAAATCATAAATACGTCCCAATTTAGCTCTTACTTAAAAAAAAGGATACACAACGACGTACTGAAAACCTAAACTTTTTAAGATAAAGGTTAGAAATAATCGTTTGTTATGTATTACTAGCAAGTGAAAATGTTATCAACTATGTTTGAGTAAACATATTAATCAAATATTTGTTTAAACCACGGTATGCCGTTGTATTTACAACAATGGTCATAAATATAATTTTTGGGACCAATTCAGGTTCAGACTGTAAAGTTTATATGATATTTAATTCGTGACGCTACAGTTAAATAATGGATTATCCTCTACAAATCCATTTTTTTACTCAGCAATATAGAAATGCCATTTTTGGGGCCCCAACTTGTACGTTTTACCTAAGTATAAAATTATGATAATTAAACAAGAATATAATCTATCTAGTTTCGTTTAGATCGTACGATATTTGATGATTATAGAATGTGTTGAATACACAAAAAATAATACCAGGAAAATAAAACAGGTCCCTACGAGACACTAATAAAAATTGATATAAAATCACTAACACATTATATGTTTGAAGCCTGGTGATTACATTAACAGCGAATAGTATTGAAACATACACAAAATTCTGACGTAGTGTTATTAAAAGCTGGCATAACAACACATAAGCCGTGACTAAACGCATGTCACACGCCACAGATCATGAACTTGGCAGTTTTTGCGTGCGAAACAAAACTCGCGCCGTACGGAACGAGAATGTGAAATTATGAATATATATTTTCATAGTGCTCAATCGGATTCCTTTATAACGAGAAAGTTTGTTCTATAGTCGTCAAATTAGCTGCTTTGTTGTCAAAAACAATTTCTATTTTCACATTATGCGTTTTTCCAATACATTGAGTATTCATTGGATACAATTGTATGCGATTCGCTGCAAAATTTGAGGCGTAAATAGATAATGCATTTTCCATGTGGAGGCATTACGAATGTTCTGTTTATTTTGGTTGAGCGAAGGTACATTTTTGATCCAATACAAAAACTCATTCTTTGACCTAATCAAATTATATACCAATTACTCTATGTTTATAGGCAATCAAGTCTCATCTCGCACGAAACAATAACGCGTTACATGATCGGAATCCTGATTTCGTTTGATGCTAAAATAAATCAGAGATACAAGGCAAAATTAATGAAACCAGTGATTCGTTCTCAACGGATGTTTGTTAATCGCCATTATCAGATCTTTGCACAACGTTATCGATGTTATACGGCGTAATCAGTACAAGAGGAATGCAAGACGTAACAGTGTGCGTCACACCGCGACACACACTAAACGCAGATTGAAAACATCACGCGGCAACCAGAGTATAATGGGCACAATACAAACTGGACTAACATTGAACAAGTGGCCCCCACAATGGAACACGCACCTACCATGCGTAGGTATATATGTACATATGTTAGCATTTCTAAACCATTATCATAATCATTAAGCATATTTTTTATTATTAATAAAATATTCAAGACAAACAAAGTCGCCCCACTCAAGACTAGACTAGTCTACGCATTCCTTAGGAAATGCCAATATGGCGCCTTCGGCTTCGCTCGTCTGTCAAAACTAAGCGGACGACCTTGCAACGGATAGCGTGATCGTGATCAGACATTTTAAAAGTACGATAAAAAATATCTTACTAACAACAAATTATCTCGGAAATCCGTAATTAGAGACTGACGCCGACTTTGGGTAGTGAACAATTTCGATTCAATATCTGCTTAAGATCTCCATCGATATTGCCTAAGATATTAGCGATCGAAAGGTCAACTGTATTAC